TTACAATGGGCAACAGCATTACCTTTAGGTTACATTTGTATAGTGTTTAATTCAGTGCTTGAAGTATGCTGAGAGCTCAGTAGTTGTCATTGTGGAAGAGACTCATGGTCCTTCCCATATCCCAGGTACCTCTGCTTCCTAACACATAATAGTAACCCTTCATCATACCATTGTGGATAGGCAAAGTGTGCTGGTTAGGTTTTGTTTTTTATTTTGACCAATTTTTATTAATTTATTTTTTACATTCCAATCCCAGTTCCCCCTCCCTCCTCTCCTCCCATCCCCCTCTTCCCTACTCCCCACTGCCCATCTGCTCCATGGAGAGGGTAAGGCCTCCTCTAGGAAGTCTACTAAGTCTATCCCATCATCTCGTTGAGGCAGGACCAAGGCACCTCTCCACCCCCCCCCAACACACACCCCTGTGTCTAGACTGAGCAAGGCATCTCTCCATATAGAATGGGCTCCACTAAGTCAGTTTATGCATTAGAGTTGGATCTTGGACCCACTGCCAGTGGCCTCATATATTTTCCCAGTTACATCATTGTCACCTATATTAAGGGAGTCTAGTTCGGTCTTATGCAGGTTCCTCATTTGTCAGACCTGAGTCAGTGATCTCTCACTAGCTCAGGTCAGCTGATTCTGTGGGTTTCCCCATCATGGTCTTGACTCCTTTGTTCATATTATCTCTCCTCCCTCACTTTGATTGTACTCCAGGAGCTTGGCCCATTGGTTAGTTGTGGATTTCTGCATCTGCTTCCATCTGTTTCTGGAAGAGGGTTCTAGCTTCTCTGGGGTTGTGAATTGCAGGCTGGGTATCCTGGTATCCACTTATGAGTGAATACATACTATATTTGTCTTTCTGGGTCTGGGTTACCTTACTCAGGATAGTTTTACTAGTTCTGCCCATTTGCCTGCAAATTTTAGTATGTCACTGTTTCTTACTGATGAGTAGTACTCCATTGTGTAAATGTACATTTTCTTTATCTACTCTTTAGTTGAGGGGCATTTGGTTTTTTTCCAAGATCTGGCTGTTAGAAATAACATTGCTATGAACATAGTTGAGCAAATGTCCTTGTGGTGTGAATGTGCCTCCTTTGGGTATATGTCCGAAAGTGGTATTTCAGGGTCTTGAGGTAGGTTGATCCTTAATTATCCAAGAAACCGCTATACTGATTTTCAGGGAGTACAAGTTTGCACTCCCACCAGCAATGGAGGAGTGTTCCCCTTTCTCCATATCCTCTCCAGCATAAGCTGTCATTGGTGTTTTTGATCTTATGTGCTGGCTAGTTTTTGTCAACGTGACACAAACTAGAGTTAGTTGGGAAGAGAGAGTCTCAACTTCGAAAATGCCTCCATCATATTGGCCAGTGGGGGTGTCTGTGGAGCATTTTCTTGACTGACAGTTGAAGTGAGAGGGCCAACCCCATTGTGAGTGATCACATCCCTAGATAAGGGCCCTGGGTTAGGCAAGGAAGCAAGCTGAAGAAGTCATGGGAGCAAGCCAGTGACTCTGGAGCTCCTCCTCCCCTGAACTCCCAACAATATGGACTGTGAATAGAACCTGTAGACCAAATAAACCCTTTCCTCCTCAAGGTGGTTTTGGTCAGTCTTTATCACAGCAACAGAAAGCAAACTAGGACACCAGGCCTGTTGGCGAGGTGTGGCCGATACACGCTAGTGGAAGCGATGTGCGCCATTTCCAGACCCGAACAACTTGTGTGAGACCCTCTCTCCCTTTGGTTCTCCTGGGACAAGCTCTGAAGACTCGGTTTGGAACAATAAGCAACCAGAGGAGAGCTCCATTCCGTGAGTCCTGAGTGACTGCAAAAGTGAGCCTCCAACAGTTCACCTCCACCAGCCTCAGTAAGCTGTGTAGCATGTAGCCTTGGCTAGTTTATTTATAGCTGCTTGACTGAGGTATAATTCACACACAAAACAATTCATCTTTTAAAATATACGATGCAGTGGCTTTTAGTATGTTCACAGAGTTGTATCATATTGAAGATAGTACTGTGAATACTAATACAGAAACTCAAACTTTTCTGCTTTGCTGGTTCCCATGGAAGGACTTACCCCACTAAGTGGAGACACATGGGGGGGAGTGGGGGAGGGAACGGGAGAAGACGAAATTGTGGTTGGTATGTAAAATCAATTTTAAAAAGATAAAAAAGAAGAAGAAAGTAACTTGAGCTTTATACTCTGGACATCTGTGGGCATTTGGCAGCTAAAAGATTGTCCTAAAAAAAAAAAAAAAAGACTTTTTAAGATTTAGTTGATTGTGGTGAGTGTGTGTGTGTGTGTGTGTGTGTGTGTGTGTGTGTGTGTGTGGTGTGTCTATATGCCACATATGTACAGATGCCTGCAAAATCCAGAAGCAATTGTAAGCCTCATGTGGGTTCTGGGAACTGAGCTCAGAAGCAGCAAGTGTTCTTAACTGATGAGTCATTATTCTATTCCTGTGGTTTTTGTTTTTTGTTTATGTTGTTTTGTTTTTAATCTATTTGGGTGTTTTGCCTGCATGTCCATCTATGCACCACACGTGTCTGGTGCCCTCAGAGGCCAGAATATGATGTGGAACTGGGTTACAAACAGCTGTGAGTCTCTGTGTGGGTCCTGGAAACTGAATCTGGTTCCTCTGGAAAAGCAGTCAGTGCTCTTAACTGCTGAGCCATCTCAGAACCCAGAGGTTGTCTTTTAGTTGCAAAAAGTAATGTGTTTACAAAGGAAAAAGTCTGCCCAATGATATCCTCATTTCCTATGCTTCCTCCTTTCTCAAAAGTAATATATCCTTTTCTTCCTGCTTGTCATTAACTCCTGCGTACGTGATTTTGTGTCTATTCTTATTTTAGCATTAGTTCAAGTAGACGCTCTTGTGTGTCTTCCCATCTAATGCTAAACTTTCTTTTTTGCTATTGTTGGACATTTGCAGATTGACTTTATGTGCACGGTGTTGACTTTTGTGTGCATGTGCACAGATGTCTGTGCAGTGTTGGGAATAAAATCTCAGGCTGTACTCAACTCTCGTGAAAATTCACACCTAGACCTACAGTATATCTCTCTCTCTCTCTCTCTCTCTCTCTCTCTCCTTCCCTCCCTCTCTCCCTCCTCCTCTCTGGTGTGTATGTGTGTGTGTTCCTTTAAGTTACCCCCAGGAAACAATCCCTGGGGTGGTGGGAGTTTAATGTCAGTATGTTAAGTTAAACTAGAAAGTTTACAGAAAGGGAAACTTTCAGGGCTTTTCTACGAAGCATGAGGAGATCCACCCCTCTGTTTCCCAAGTACTGGAATTAAAGGCTTGCACTATCATACCTGGCTATGTTCTTCTTCTTCGAAGAATTTGATAAATGCACAAAACATTTAACAAGGATTATGGAGGCAACAGGAGTTATCAAGAGACTGTTGTAATACTGTGTCTCAACTTTAGCACTATGGCTGCTAGGAGAATTCCACAGGTGTGTCTTTCCACATTTGAGTAGCCCAGGCAAAATACTGAGTTTTAGGCAACCGGACATTATATTTAGTTTATTTTGCAATAACAAAGCTTTTGGTACATAGTGCATTTCCAAAACTGGTGACGACCCTTCTGTGTATATATACTACCTGGCACTAAAGATACAGGCTTTGTTGCAGTGGTAGTATTGTCCTCTTTATCTTTTGAGGCAGGACCTCATTAAGCAACCAGGCTGACTACAACATCTTGGTCTTTTTGACTTAATTTTCTGAATGATGGGTAGAGATGTGGGCTCCCACAGAGAGCAGGTGCATTGCTTCACCAAACAACAGCTCTTTGTGTTTGGACCCAGGAGGTTCAAATGGCAGAGCATTCTGAATGCCAAGAGGGATTTAACTGAAGACAAGTGGTGTGCCAGGTCATCAACTGTCTTACACAAACAAAGTTCCCAGCACTGGATTCAAACTCAAATTCTATTATTTAGAGAAAAATTACATCAGAATTTCCCCATGCCAACAAGTGGAAAAATATCCGTTCTTTATAAATTTTCCCTGGGATGGTGGGGGGGGGGAGTGTCACTTTTTAAGAGGGCACTGACTGGAAAATCACCACAATGGGACTTAGAGAGGTGGGGTTCCTGACTCATGACTCAGCAGATGCAGTTGCCTCGTTGCATAATCAGGGGCAAGGGGGCAATTGGGCATGACCCAGAAGGAGGAGACTGGGATGAAGTAGAGCATCACCCAGATGGGTGTTGGAAGAGTACCAAAATTGCCTCCACAGTTCTTGGGGCAACTTGGATTATCTTAGGAAAAGTCTGTCTACTTTTCCCACTATCACTGGCCAATTTATTTGGGGCCTCCTAATTCGGGATTAGTGCATTGTGAAAGTGGATTTTTCTTTCTGTGGGATTCTGCTCGTTCACTTTTCTTCCAGAGCTGGCCAGTTTACTATACTGGAACCTGCCAGTTCAACGATCTTACTTTCCAGAATCATTTGTGCGTTCTGAATCAAGCTTATGGGGTTTCATAACCTCAACAGTTGCTGGGTTTTGTATCAAGGCTTGTTGAACCAAATCGAGTGTGGACAGACACCCGTGGTGGTAGGAAGCTTACAAAAGGATAGGGTAAATATCGTGGCACTCTGCAAAACCGGTTACAAACATTTTAATCCAAGGGGTAAAAAAAGCGCACTTAAATAACACCTGGAGCCTATCAGTTCCATCAGATTGAAAACAAGATGTGTGGGATTCCAGAAAAGTATCATCCAGGGATTGGAAAAGACACAAGACGTCTTCTTCAGGGCTGTAAAGTGAAACCAAAACCTCTTCCCAGTCTCTCTATCTCTAGGATGCGGGTTACTTTCAAAACATTCACTTCCTGGCGCTGCAACAGCAGGCAGACCCTCTGCCACGTGGGGCGCCCGCAGAGCAGCTGGAGAATTCCGTGCCGCTAGGACCTAGCTGGAGAAGCATCCTTCCCGACCCCTCACGGACCGCGGAAGCGGCCAATCAGAAGGCGCCTTTACTCAGCCGTGCACCAATCGCAGGCTTCCTTTCTGCAGGCCGTTGGGGCTATTTAAGGGGGGCGCCGGAGCCGGAGCCGCACAGTTGCCGGTCCTGGTGCGCAGCGTGCAGCCGTCATGGTCAGCCACCTGCAGCTCAACAACGGCGCCAAGATGCCCATCCTGGGCCTGGGCACCTGGAAGGTAGGTACACGAGACACACCCACGGTTGCCCAGGCGACAGGGACAGAAGCCGAGCCCCGAGCTTCGCCGTCAGGCACCTGTGGCGCCCCAGCGTCCTCCCTTGGCCCGGATGTTGCCCTCTCGGGGATGAGCCAGCTGGGTCGATGGGTCTCAGATGATTAAATTAGGAGGCGAGAGTTTGCCAGGAGCTTGCCTGTTTCTCTGTCCCCGAAGGCACTGGGCGCAGCTGGTAATGGGTGTGGAACTCCTCAGTAAATTAATCTGGCTTCCGCATTGCTGGGTGCCACCCACTGATGAAGAATTGGGCTCCGGGTGGGACAACCCCAAAAGCTCAACACAGCACAGCAGGGTTGAGAGAGAGGGCCTGATACATAAGAGTGAGATTCTGGGGTGGGGGTGGGGGGTTGTGAGGGACACAAACAGAACAGATAATTAAAAACTGGTAGGGTTGAGCTCAAATAGTGTGAAATGGGACAGAGTCCGTTTGTACCCAAATTACAGTTAAAATGGGTAACATATGGTGAATACGAAACAGGGTATAGACTTGTCTTTCTCTGAGCCTGTTTCTAGGCCAGTAGATCGGCATGTATAGCTTGTATTTCCAGAGGGCCACCGGTGACTGTAAAGGTGTAATTGAATTACAGCCATATCAGGTTGAATTTGGTGTATTGGAACGATGAAAAAGATAATTTCCCTGCTGTAGTCAACACATCTACAGGACACAACATATAGGCACGTAGCTACAGTAGAAGTTCTGGACGGAAGACCTGACCCACAGTATGGGTACTGATAACTCTAATTCTATCCCATTGCTCCAAAAACCATGGTCATAACTTTAGAAAGTCATTCCACAGGCCAGCATTTGCAGGTCAATTCTCAGATACATAAGGAGTTAAAGTTCACAAGTCGGTTGCTGGAGAGCATGCAACAGCTCCCAGAGAGCTAGGTGTTTGTTTAAATTAACATGCATTTGTGTATTTAGATCATGGCAGCCTCTTCACAAGATATTTCGTCACTTCCCACAGTGCCTGGCTGGAAAGAATGGCTCCAGAAGTCAAGTGTTAGGTTAAGGTGAAGAAATCCACTAGAGAGGAAACTGTAAAGAAAATGTACACTTGTGTTTCTGGGGGCCAGGTGAGGTTGGTTTAGGAGCGCGTTGAGGGGAAGAAGAGTAGAAAATGAAATAGATGAGGTTAGTGGGGACTTGCAGATTTCTCTTTAAACAATACCAACTTAATACTTTCTGTATGTGTGCATGTTCCTTTGTAGATGATAAACAGTATAATCACCGTGACAATCTCAGGAGAGGGCCAGTGGACGCAGTTTCCTGTTCTCATGGAGCCATGTCAGTGGCTCTGTGGTACCCAACAGTGGTCTGTGATCCACTGTCCCTTTTAGTGCCTTCATACCAATTTTCTCCTCAGAGATGAGGATTTCAGGCAGTTGGGAGACATCCCTACTTAAACAGTTTCTTCCTGGCTGGTTTGCCTTCCCATGGGACAGTAAGTACAACCCATAGTGTATTGTGTGGCCAGGAGGCCTTTAAGACAGAGCTATAACCTCTGATACAGACCAACGTCCCGTTACTGATAATTTTGACCTAGTTGAAAATCTTTGTAAGGACATGGCCATTGTTGCTTCCACATGTAGGCTAGAAATGCTGCCAGGAATGGAGGGACAACTGTGTTTTCAGTCTTTTTCCAGTTAATGCCCTCTGTGTCTCCCAATCATGAGTCTTTTGAGATGTTTTTTTTGCCTGATTGTACCCCAACCAGATCTTGGTATCTCAGGTAAAACTACTGTATATGTGCACATGCCCTGTAGCCCTACCGAAGGGTCACACGCCATTCTTGAGCTGTGACAGGTTTTCTCTTCAAGTCTGATTTTTGCCTCTTTGGGATAGTACATGTCCTTAGAAGAAAAGTATGCAAGAGTCATCCTACCACTTCTTGAGTTAAAGCAACCCTCTGCTGACAGTCTGGGATGAGTGAGAAGACCATGGCCATTGAAATAGGAGTTTGGTTTCCTGGTTGCCTGCCAGTGACTGACCACACCTCAACCTCTCCCATCTTCAAGATGAAAAATAATCAAATAAATCCTGCCTGCATAGGGCCTGTTCTGGAGCCTCATCTCTGTTGGGTGGAGCTGTGTCTTAAAATCAGGACAGGTTTATTGATTTGTTACAGTAGAGCACGTTTTTATTAGTGTTGCCAAACTGGGATCCAGGCTTTCAGCATGATAAGGCTGGGGAGGGAGTCATCTTGAGGGTTCAGTCTTTATCTCTCGGAATTACTGTTTAAGTTACTGAGCTCTAAGATGGACTTTGACCATCAAGACAAGGGAGGCTGCTTTCTCCGACTCTAGCAATGGAAAGTGCTCTTTGTGGTGACTGTGGGCAGGGTATGAAAGGTGGCCCATTGTAATCTTTCTGTGGGTTTTCTGTCAGAGACTTGTGAGTGTGGCAGATATAAGTCTGCTTACTAAGTGGCCAGGGTTCTGTGTGGGGAAGGAAACTTTGGAAGCAGACCTTCTCCTTGACCTCTTACACTTCCAGCCTTTATCTGGCTTTGTCTTCCTATGAAAATAGCACACAGATTTTCCTGTGGATTTTAGTTTGGTGTCAGTTGTCCGCCAACCTTGATTAATGTAGTCTGTACTCTAGCTCTGAGAAACAGAAAGATCAAGTTAGCTGTAAGCAGAAAACAAACACAAAAGTTATGTTAGGGGTAGGGGCTCATTGGTTGTACACATGGTAGCTACTGGATTCACACTTGGAATTCCATTATGGAGTTTTAAGTTAGGTCACCAGGATTCAGTCACTCTTGGCCCCATTGTTTGAAGGAGTTGCAAGCCCTCATTCTCCCAGCAAAGGACTCTTGCTGAGGAGGGTCCCTTAGCAGGTCAGTTCAGGTTCGGAGATGGAGCCTTACGGCCTGGCTCAAGTTGTTTATGCATGAGTGGCTGTGGCAGATGTTTGGCTTTGCCCACCCTGGACCTTGTGCCCAGCACTCCATCCAAAGCCAGGTGCTGCCAAACCCTCAGCAGGCTCTCTACAAGGCAAGCAGAGGTCTCTAAGAGAAGAACCAACAAAAGTGCCATAAACCCTGGCAGAAGTTCAAATGGACCATGAGACAGAGCCCCAACTCTCCAGGCCTCTCTTAGGTTGTCTTTCTCAGGCAGGGATGTGCTTTCCCCTCCCAGCTAATACCTGCCAAGGCTGTGTCTGGGTGCCCCAGAGAGCCCATGGTGGGGGAGTCCTCCTGCATCTGCTGAAATAGTTCTTTGAGCCACAGAAGTGTGGAGAAGCCAGGGGTGCACCCCTAGGTCATTCTACAAGGAAACGAGAGGTTGCCAGCAGTCTAAAGAGTACAGGCAGCTCACACCTTGGAACGGTATGGCCTTTCCACCAGGTAGACTCCTCCCCTGCTGGGTGAGGGGCAGGAACCACTGCCAGCAGGTGCTGGTGATGGACTTATCCTGGCGTTCCATGTTTTTTTCCCCCAGACTGTTGTGTTCACAAGGCTGCAGACAAAATAGATGTTGGCAGCTGCTGGTGGCCCTGGGAGTTTTTCTTTCCATTTGCTTCTGCCCCAACTCCCCAAAGGAATGTGCTGTGTTCATTCAGTAGTGCCCCACACAGTGTCTTGTTCAGCTCTCCAGTCCAGGCAGGAGCAGCCAGGAGATAGTGAGCACTGTGGGGGTGGAGTGGAGTGGTGAAGCTTAGGGCTCTGCAGGCTCCTCCTCCCCCTTACTGGCCAGGCTTCCCACGTTTGTTCTGGAACTCAGGTGATAGTCTCCTAAGGTTTCTGTCTTCCCTTTCTACCCACTCCTGTCTGCTAATACCTCTGTGGGGTCATCTGTCTGTGTCCACCTCCTAGACTGGGTTCTCATCTACTGGGTCAATAGCAGTTAGCTCTTGCTGTAGGAGAAATATCTGTTTAAATGAAGCGGTGCCCTTTATTACTCAAGATTTTCAGCTAGTGGGGAATTTTTTTTTTTTTTTTGAGACACGGCCTCATTTCTTTGGCCCAGTCTGGCTTTAACCTCTGCCTCCAGAGTTGATGGGGTCACCCCTATGTCCCAGGCTTCGAGCAATCTGTGCTGCTGGCAAGTGGCTGTCAGGCTCTGCAAAGGTGAAGTGGTATGCCATGACACCTTGGTCCCCTGGCTGGGGGCTGACGGTGCCATGCTGCCACACAGATGCATGATGACAGAACAAGAGCCTGACCCAGGACCCCTGCCTCCACTCTTCTTCCTTGGCTCTGTGTTAACTCTGTTCTGTTCTGTTTTGTTTTTTAAGCTCATGGCTTATATTCCTTCCTTTCTAGTCCCCTCCCGGCCAGGTGACTGAGGCCGTGAAGGCTGCCATTGACATTGGGTACCGCCACATTGACTGTGCCCAGGTGTACCAGAATGAGAAGGAGGTGGGAATGGCCCTCCAGGAGAAGCTCAAGGAGCAGGTGGTGAAACGCCAAGACCTCTTCATCGTCAGCAAGGTACCAACCTGTGAGAACCCTGGGGTCCGATCCACCCTCAACCATGGGAACCCAGCTGCCAGGCAGGTCCACACTTACCATTTTGGCAGTTAGCTCTGGGTAGGTGATTCTTCCAGGTCCAACTCATGCCCACAGGGGACCCTGGTGCTTGTCCACCTATATCTCTCTCTGTTGGACCTAGCGATTAGAGAGCCCTGTGCTGATGAAACTGGTTGGGGTTGACTGTCCCTGTTTAAGGAGTTTCCTTAGGAACAGACTTGGTTCCCATTTACAGACTGGGTTTCATTGCTGGCCTGTGTTTTTAGCTAGAAGCTGTGGGGTGCACAGAGGAGCCCAGATTGGAGGGTGAGGCTGGTTCCATGTGGACCAGCTTGGCAGGAAAGTAGTGTGTTTAGCACCTCCAGTTCTGCAGTTGGCCTGTCCATTCTATAGTTATGCCTTGTTTGGTCTTTGTGAGGTGCCCTTGACCTGACCATCCCCCTTGCCTTTGGAAAGTTGGGGTCCACAGTGTGAACTGGGAACTCTTCAGCCACTGCTAGCCTCATGGTTATGGGGAGAGGAGGTGTGTCCTCTGCCTTGGAGCAGCGTGGCTCCCAGCCGGGAAGAGGCATTTACGCAGCAGGGATAAGATGTACCTTTGCTGGCTTCAGCTGTGGTGCACGTTTCACGACAAGAGCATGGTGAAAGGAGCTTGCCAGAAGACGCTCAGTGACCTGCAGCTGGACTACCTGGACCTCTACCTTATTCACTGGCCAACAGGTTTCAAGGTAAGGGGCACAGCTGATATCAAGTTCCTGAGGCTTAGGTGTGGTCTTGTCTTCCCATTGGTATATAATGGGTGTATTAGTATATTATTGTCTCTGCTGCTAGAGGTGTGGGCCTTGGACCAGCATTAGTGTCGTCACCCATAATGTATTAGGAACCAGCTTCATGCCTCTCCCACACCGTCTGAACCACTGGTGATTCAGATGTACCCTTTGGAGTTTGGGGAGCATCACTGTCTTTACTAGGTGTCTGTAGAGTTTAACGTTGGTGATGAATCTGGCTAATGTGGTTACTGTCGTCCCTGTAACGCACAGCTGTAGGTGCAGTCGTGGGCATATGCACACATTGTCATTGTCATTGTCATTATGTGAATACACATTCACAACATGGTTCTTAGCACCGTGGACCCAGAATCTACATTTCTCGCCTGTAGCCCCTGGCTTGTTTTTCTGCATGGTTGCTCAGATTGAAAGGATTTAGCTCACTGTGGTCTCTTGGGCCTGAGAGACTTTTTTGCCCTTTGTTTCTTTTATGACAAGCCAGTGAGAGATGGGCTGTGTGATAGTTATAGTCCTGAGCGGCAGCTGAGAAAAACATGGGCCCCTGAGTTTCCCAGCCTTGAGCACCCTTCCCTGTCCGTATACTCTTCTCCATGTCAGGGTTAGTCTCAGACGTGGGCGTGTCTGAATCTCCACCTGTCCGCCTCTGTGCTCCAGTCATGACAAGGACCTCCATCGGGCTCATTTTCTTACTGTCTTATGAGCGTTTGTGATGCTGCAAGATTAAAATAGGTCTGTGAAGGACCCTTGCTGACCATCTTGTCCATGTGTGTTTTTGTTGTTATTGACAGCCCGGGCCTGATTACTTCCCACTGGACGAATCAGGAAATGTGATTCCCAGTGAGACTGATTTTGTGGACACTTGGACGGTAAGATGATGCTGGCTGAGACCCTTCGTTGTTTATTGCTGGTATCCTGTTCTTGGGTGTGAGCAGTCTGCTCTGCCACCTCTTGCCGTATATAAATAAACCATCTAGTCTCCATGGCTATCTGTGTAGCTTCCATGTCCTTCTCTCAGCTTCTGAAAGGTATAAGGTGCTGGCTATGAATGGGGAGGGCACAGTCTAGACACAAACATGCTTCTGGTCCCTGTCCTTTTGGGACTCAGTTAGCGCCAGGTAAATCTCTCTTTTCTTTTTAGGCCATGGAACAGCTGGTGGATGAAGGTTTGGTGAAATCCATTGGTGTCTCCAACTTCAACCCTCTTCAGATTGAGAGAATCTTAAACAAACCCGGCTTAAAATATAAGCCTGCGGTTAATCAGGTGGGCTTCCCCCAGGGAAGATGCTGGCATGCTCTTATCTGTGGTCCACACCACCAAGGGAATCCTTCGATCTGATTTGTCACAACAGACAGACAGACACATCTGAGAGTGGAAGCTTTGCAGGGATAGGATTTGGGGTTAGCCAGAAAAGACGTGGCTTCTGACAGGAGCAGTGGGCAGCTAGGAGATCTGTGGGCTTTTGTCAGGTGGCAAGTGGCCAAGGCCAGAGAACGCCTTAAAGCCTTATAGCCATAGAGCACTGGTAATAGAATCATTGTTCTTAATGTGAAGGTCACTATCTGGGAAATGTAGAGAGTTGTCACAGCTTATCTGGGAGGCAGACGTTTCTGTGTGGGGAGAGCATTAACTTGTGTCCACTGCCACAGTCAACCCTCCTGTTTGTGCTGCAGATTGAATGCCACCCGTACCTAACTCAGGAGAAGCTGATTGAGTACTGCCAATCCAAAGGCATCGTGGTGACCGCGTACAGTCCCCTTGGCTCTCCTGACAGGCCCTGGTGAGCTTCCATGGGGTCACTAGTTCTAGTAATTGGAAATGACTAGAAGGAATGATTGAATGTCACAGAGAGGCCATGCAGACCTTCTCTGGGGCCGCTGGGCTTCCTGGGAGGTTAGTGTTTCTATAAGCAAGATGACACTCTCTTTTATAAAGGTCAGCAGGTGGTCAACCACCCAGAAGTCACAGGGAGAGTCAGGGCTAGGGTGGCCAGCTGCCATGAGTGGCAATAGTGAAGAATATTTATCTTACCATCTCTCTGTCCCAGGGCCAAGCCTGAAGACCCTTCTCTCTTGGAGGATCCCAGGATTAAGGCAATTGCATCCAAGTACAATAAAACAACAGCTCAGGTATGGCTACTTCCAGGTCCTGAAGACGGTTGCCTGAACTATATTCTTGGTGGTCCCTGTCAGTTGGGAGTGGAGGGAGCTGAGCCCATGAAGCCCTCTCTGGAAGTGTCGTTTGGAGTCCTAGAGGCAATATTAAGGGCACAGATCTGGGCTTAAATGGATTAATTGCCATTTAGTCTTGGAGTAATAGTTTCTGTCCCTGCTGCCTTTATAGGCAGCCCAGACATTGGCGCAGCATTTGCTAGTGTTTGTGAAAGCTCATCCCTGTACAAACAGAAGAGCTCTTACTATCTGCAGTGTGGGTGATGTCTCTTACTCCCGTGGGTAGTGTGAATCCCAGGCAGTGACTTAACTGTGGCCTTGTGATATGGCTGGAGCCATTGATGGAGCAGGACTTAGAGTCAGACTGGCGGATGTCACTAGATGTCTCTGAACCTCTTTACCTGTGCAGTTGTAGACTGTGATGATAACACAGTGCCTGGTGTGTGCACACACTCAGCACCTCTGGGTCCACAGGTGCTGATCCGGTTCCCCATACAAAGGAACTTGGTGGTGATCCCCAAGTCCGTGACACCAGCAAGAATTGCTGAGAACCTGAAGGTAAGATCTTGCTGGCAGACCTGGCTTTCCTCTATGGTATATAAGGGTGGGGTCTCAGGTTCCTCAATCATCCCCAGCTGTGTGATTTTTGAGCAAGTCACTTGACTGCATGAAAAATAAAATAATACATATTTTGAGAGCTATCATGAAACTCAGGTTCTTGATGCATACACAGCACTTCACACAGTGCCTGGTTCCACAGTAAGTGCTATGCTAGTGATGAGTCTGTGGACTGCTAGGGTCTTCCAGGATGCATGCTGACCCACTGGCCCTGTAAAGTGCCTAAGTAGTCATGAACCCCCCATTCCAGGCTTGGGAATGTCTGGACACCAGGAGTGTGGGCGTTCAGAACCTCCCACCCCCAACAGCAGCTCAGGCTGGGAGAAGAGCTATTCCAGGAAGGTCTTGTTGTCCCACAAGCCTCTGTCCTCTCTAAGCAAAGGGACAGCTGTGCTGAGATCTGGTTCAAAGTGCTCTTTAGCAGTCAGCCCCATAGTGTCCCCTATACATAGGCCTTGGTTAGGGTGGTTCTGATGACGTAATGAGCAGCTCATTGTAAACCATGACCATGTCACTTACTGTGTAAAGATGGGGGAAGAAAGGCCTGTCCTGCTTGAAACGTGTTAATCCCTCACCTCATATTTCATTTCTACAGTATTAGAAAAGAAAAGGAAGGTGACAAATCTCAAAATACTAGCCTAGTGTTTTTGGCTTTGATTGTTTGATCTTACTGTGCATTCTTTCATGTATTTCTATGGCTGTAATCACAAGAATATGTAGTAGTCTTGTCCTGAGCTTTCTGTCATCAGGAGCCAGGTGGAATAGGTTGTCTGGGTGTAGGTCCATTTCCAAGCCCCAGTGCTGCCAAAGGCCATCTGGCCTAATTGTCTACGTGCCCACCTTGTACCCTAAATACCTTTCTGTATTCTATTGCGGGGTGTCCACCAGAGAAGACTACTCAGACATGGGTTTAAGCAAACAGAAAATCTATTAGCCAGCCCACAGCACACTAAGTGTTCAGAATCTCAGTGTAGCCCCAAGCCTTTCTCAGGGTGAGTTTTTAAGCACAAAATCACATCTTAGATTGACATACTTTAGTTAACAGGAATAATTAGCAGGAAGCAGAACTACAGAAGCCAAAACACAAGGTTAGTACACTTAGAGTCTTTCCCAGAGCTCTGGACTTTAATGGATTAGACTTCATTTGACTGGTGGTGCTGTCTATGTGCTGAGTTTTAGCCTGAATGGTACTTCTATCATGGAGTCAGTTGTGCTAACATCTTGGGGGCCTGATACATATTCCTGTATCTTTTTGTCTTCATGGAAGTGATGCCATTATTCCAGTCTGCCTTTCTGCTCTGAATGAAAACCTTAGGCATTTTCCTAGGCCATCTCACACAGTAGCTCCACAGGGCAGTATCCTTCAGTGCCCAGCTGCAATGCCTTGCTGGTGCCTCTAGGCAGCCTGGAGACTCTGTTTCATCTCGCACGTCACGGCACAGATTATTGGCTGTTCCAGCTGTTGAAGTGCCTCCTTCCTCTACTTCCTGGAGGATGGAAGCTGACAGGTTACTCATTAAAATTCCCACTGGCACTTATCACAGTAGAACTTAGTGTGGCAAGAATGAACTAAACAGTGCCCTCTGCTTGGAAGTTCTGGAGGGGAAAGGCCATTTCAGATCCAGCCACAGTATGTGCATCTTGTGGAGAGTAAATGCCAATCTCTTGAAGTTTCATTTCCTCTCTGCCCTCTGTACTCCAGGCAGTAGGAGCCATCTGGAACTTCATAGTGCAGTGTCTGCTTTCACTGCAGAGCTCACTGGCTTTTGTTGCTCTCATGTTTGTGTCAGGTCTTTGACTTCGAGCTGAGCAAGGAGGATGTGACCACTCTACTCAGCTACAACAGGAACTGGAGGGTGTGTGCCTTGATGAGGTGAGTGAGTCTCTGTCACTATGACGACTGTTCGATATCACCAGATAGTGTAGAGTAAGAGGCATCTCTCCAGCCCCAGAGGGGCTCTCCTTATAGCCCACCCTGCTGTCACACAGACCTTGTTTTCTAACCATGCAGACCAGGAAGCAGGCAGAAAGCTGGGGTGGGGGAGGACAGCTGTCAGAAGTCCTGTCCTGTGTCTCTTCCTCCTGCTAGAGCACAGGTGTTGCTTTTCTGAACTCAGATGATCCCAGTGCTCATCTGGTGCCCACCTTCCTAGAATAATTTGCATGCCATTTAATCAAATTAGTGACTCTTAATTAAAGAGTTTGGTAGAAGACCTTGTTGCTGGGCTCAGGCTAGACCCAGCTCTGACACCAAAAAGCCCCATGACTCTAGAATGCCACTCAGTTGCATGGCCCCTTCAGCTTTACCTTTGGTGGTTTCTTGCCTCCCCTCTGAAGTGGGTTTGGACTCCAAGCCCCTGGGAACATATTTGCTTTAAGAAGTAATCTCTGGGGAGCTGGAGAGGTGGCTCAGAGGTCCTGAGTTCAATTCCCAGCACCCACGTGGTGGTTGACAACCATCTATAGTGGGATCTGATGCTCTCTTCTGGCATAAAGTCGTTCATGCAGATAGAGCACTCATATATTATATCTTAACAAAAACAAAACAAAAAAAGCAGCCTCTGTGTCCTCAGTGGCTCTAATGCCCTTGTTTCTTACTTGCCTTGATTCACACCTACACTCTCTGGCTCTTGCTTTCTCTTGCTTCTCTTGCCTGAGCCTTTGGCTCAGGGTTTGCATGGTGGCTGTGGCCTCTACTATCACATGTGCCTTAGACAGTAAAGACTGTGATTCAGGCTGAGGTTGCCTATTTGCATGTTGCTGTCACAGGGGCCTCAGGTTCTAAGTAGGCCATAAACAGAGCCAGCCCAGGAGTCCCAACCAGGGCCCTTCCTAATACTGTATTAATGACACTTAGCCTTTTAACATGGAAATCATTTTGTTGTTGTTGTTTTGGATCTAATGGGCAAGAGAGAAGTGAATCACCTGCCTGTGGCATCCCTTCAGTTCTGGGAACCTGCCACAGTCACTCGGTCTGTGACTGTGTTTCCCCTGATGCAGGCATTTCCCCTGCCGCTGCTGCTGTGTACATTGAAGCTTTTGGGACAGACAAACCATGTGCTTTCTAACTGACCCGTCATACATGCTTGCGTCCCTTGCACCTTCCAGGGCTAGTCTAGAAACCGCTGTGTATGCTGTGTATTTGCAGTGCTGAGTGGGCGTGGATCGGAGCTGGGGTGGGGAGGAAGAGGTTGGCTCTAATGCTCCCAGATCTCTAGTGCTCTACTTTTTCCTAACTGTGCCTATGCCAGCCCTCCCATTGACATGCACTGTTACACTGAGCCTGTCCTGTTCTTTGCATCAGGACGCAAAGAAAGGAGAGCTCATGAGCCATGTGAGCGTTCAGTGAGAGTTATATGCCCAGGCCTGGCTCACCCTTGACCTCCATCTGCTGTTTGTCACCGTAGAACTGCGTTAGTGATATGGGAAAAAATGAACAATGCCCTTCTCTTTAGAACAGCGATTTCTCAACCTGTGGGTCAGACAATCCTTTCAAAGGACAGGGTCACATATCAGATATTTACATTGTGATTCATAACAGAGGCAAATAATTTTATGGTGGAAGGTCACATCAACATGAGGAACAGTGTTATAGGGTAGCAGCATTGAGAAGGCAGAGAACCAGTAGCTTAGAAGTTCTAGAAGGGAAGGACTACTTCAGACATAACACATAACAACCTTTTAAAAATCTTATTTACTCTCCTACTCTCCCAACTTCAGAGAGCAGGAGCTGTCTGGGATTTCTGGTATTGTGTCTGATTTTCATTGCAGAACTTACTGGATTTTTTTTTTTAATTTATTTTTTCATGTGTATGCATTGTTTATGTGTATATGCTGGCTTTGACAACAGCCTGTCCAGTTTTTCCAGTGCTCTTGCCATTTTGTTCCTAGTATAAACCATTGGCCCTACTATGAGCCTTGGCTGCATGCCACCCCTTCCCCTGGTTCCTGCAGCAAATCCCCAGCTCCTGTTTGGTGCTGGTTTTGCTCCAGGTGACAAGGAAGTGCCCCTCCGTCTCTTGGGAGCCACTACTGTGTGACTTGCCCTTCAGGATTCAGCGTTCTGCAGCTTTTAAGCCCTTCTGTTGCCTCATTATCTCTGCTCTTTTTGTCTGTGTTCAAGGTGATAAGATGAGCTGGGTGTGGTGTCACATGCCTATAATCCCAGCACTTGGGTTGGAGGCAGAAAGATCTGAAGTTCAAGGTCACCCTCAGCTATGAGTATGTTTGAGGCCATCCTGACACCAGGCCCTGTCTTTTAAAACAACAGAAAGATGATATGATGCTATGTGACCCTGCAAGCTAGTCTGAATTACTAGGAAGCAAAAAGCAGGTCTTGCTGCCCAGTGTGTCCCCAGGCCTAGTGCTGGGTGCAGTGTGCACATGCATGCTGGTTCCTGCTATCACAAGACAAGAGGAGCCTAGAGGCTGAGTAGCTGTCTCGGTTGTATGCATGAACAGACTCTTAAGACTGGCTCGTTGCCTCTGAGGCTCAGCTCATGACCACATCATTTCTCTCTGTGAAGACAGCCAAAATCTTTTCTTTGAGAGCCAGCAAGATGGTTCTGTATATAAGGCATTTATTTGGAACCAATCCTGGTGAATAGAGTTTTATCCTCAGGACCCACATGGTAGAAGGAGAGAACAGACTCACAGAAGCTGTCCTTTGACCCCAGCACGAGCCCTGTAGCATGCTCCCCTACAGGTGCACACACTAAATGACTTAGTGAACGTAGTCTTTGGAAGTGGCTGACTTGTAAGGTGCATGTGTTCTTTTCTGACAGCTGTGCTAAACACAAGGATTACCCCTTCCACGCAGAAGTCTGAAGCTTCGGATGCCTGCTCTCTCCCACGAGACTTGCACCTGCTCTTCCTGTTTCATCTGTCCTTGTGGGTGTAGTGTAGACTGTGTCCCTCTGCACTGTGTGGAACCTGGAAGATCAGACAACGAGGGTCTGTTAGTTTGATGTAGTCTCCAGAGAGCATTATCAGTAGCTGAGTGATTTTCTTCAGCCTTTCTTGATCTTTCTTCTTACCCACCTGGAAAATGTTTAACACAAGTACCCTTTCCAACCAAAGAGAAGCAAGATTTATAGTCCAAGTAGTGCCACTAACAGTTAAGTTTTGAGTGCTCAGAGCTGTAGTCTTTGGGTCAGTCTTCTCTTTGCTTCAAATAAAAACTGCTTTTGTGAATTTGGTGGTGTTCCATTTTGTTCTTATTCTGTGAAACACTAGACCCTTTTGGCCCCACTCCCAGCCTGCCCTCCCTGAGTACCCAGGCACAGGCCGGTGAGCTGGGAACAAAATGACGACCCTCACCCTAGCACTTTACCACTTAGTGTTAGGGTGGTGGGTTGCATTCTGGCTACAGCCTGATAACATGGTGCCCTTAAATAGGGTGTCAGGATCTTGCCTCTGGATACTGAGCAGTCTTGCCAGGTTATCCCCAGGGATTTAAGAGTTTACAAGTTTTCTGGGCAATTGTCATTGCAGCCAGGCTTCTCTGCTAGGGCACAAAGCCCCTGGGTGTCACGTTTTACTTGGGTGGTCCTCCTCCCTATGAAGATCTAAATGAAAAGGGAGTTCTACCCAAGGGAACAAGGCTGTTGTGGAGCCCATTTAGATAAGGAGGAAAAGCACAAGGAGCTGATGTCAGCTGGATATGGTGAATGCTCCGAGGTTTTTGAGTAGGTTTTGGGGCCCTCACATTCTTGCTGGCTTCTATGGTAGCGTTTCTTCATCCAGGATTCAGTAGACACAAGGCAGACAGAGGATGCACAATGTGATCTGAGGCTTCATAAAGCTGGTGGCTCTATTCCTGGCTTAGTTTGCTGCATGGTTGCAGACCCAGCTGGTCATGTCCAGTGACTGCTTTACATGTTACCAGTATTTATGACACTCCTGAAGGAGAGTTGGGTGCCAGCAGTTGCTAGACCTCTCCAAAGAAGGAAATAGGTTCTGCACCTCAAAACATGAGCTCCACCTGCACAGGCTAGCGCATGGTCCCTGGTCTGAGCCCTGCTTGTCGCAATGCAGGAGTCCAGTTCCCTTTGCTGGAGCAGGTCCAGCTGCTAGTGGTACATGGCCATCTGTGGTGTAACAGGACAGCTTGTTAGCTGGCTAATCCCCACTCCTATCTCTCCAGCTAGTTAAGAATTGGCCAGAAGACACTGGAAAACTTAGGGACAATCACTAGGAAGAGTTTCTGTCTTAAGACAAAAAGCACTATCAGTAAATGAAAGAGGAGTGTTCAGACCCCAAGAGGAGCTTGTTCATGTCTGCCAGCCAGTCTTCAAGGCCAACGGTTCTGTAACTCCATTCTTTGAACTACAATTTCCCTTGTCCTGACTGGCAAATTACTTAATCTATCAACCTTTGTCTCCCCGGTCTATAAAATTCTTACAGCGGGCATAAGGATTAAATGATGTCATGAATATTAAACCCGTTCTAAAACATTGGGCACACAGCTATTCAAACATGGCGTCCAGGCCAGCGAAATGGCTCAGCAGGTCAGAGTGCTTGCTGCCAAGCTTGATAACTTGAATTGGATCCCTGGGACGTACATGGTAGAAGGAAAGAACTGACTCCCACAAGTTGTCCTCTGACCTCTATCTGCATGTATGCACAGGCAAAATGTAATAAACATGTCAGCTGTTAGTCCTGATATTCATATCATTAGCATAACCAAACGTGACAAGCAAACCCACAGGTCCCTTTGCAGTTCTAAAATGGTACCCAGGGGTGTAGCTGTGCCCAGGAAGGGCTCGCTCTTTTGTAGAAACAGCACCATATCTGTGGTGCTAAGCTCTGCCAAACTCACCCACGGGAAGGAGCAACTCCTGATAAACTCTATAAGGAATGAGCACTGAAAAAAATGCTGCTATTGATATTTTTTATAAGGGTTGTTTCATAAAAATACTTAAGTACGGTCATAGGGCATAAGAGATAGTAAGAATTACAGAGAACATCTAATCTGGTATTTCTCCAAGCCATTGTTTTCAGTTTTATTTTTTTGCCAGCAGACTTTATTCTGAAAAATTCTGCCTGGACCTTCAGTGTATAAACTGAAGATAAAGGATAAGCTGTTGTGGTACAAGTCAGGGAGGGACCTGGGCGTGGAGCCAGCAGCATCTTTTCCCATAGCCGCCTCGCTAGGAAGGCCCTGTAACACAGCTCCTTCCTTCCTTCCTTCCCTCCTTCCCTCCTTCCTTCCTTCCTTCCTTCCTTCCTTCCTTCCTTCCTTCCTTTCCTTCTTTGGTTTCTTTTTCTTTTTTTTTGTTGTTTTTGTTTTGTTTTGTTTTGTTTGTTTTTCAAGACAGGGTTTCTCTGTGGCTTTGGAGGCTCTCCTGAAACTCACTCTGTAGACCAGGCTGGTCTCAAACTCACAGAGATGCACCTGTCTCTGTCTCCCGAGTGCTGGGATTAGAGGCATGTGCTATTATCACCTGGCATGTAACACAGTTTCTAACAAATACAAATTTTGTTTCCACAGAGTTACTGGTATCTAGAATTCTGGGTGGATCTACATCAGAGTCTGTCATTGATCAATGGTGTCTGAGGCATGTGGTTGTAAGACTCTTGGCTGACAAGGAATTTCAAGTACTGATGTCAACAGACATCAGTACTGGGGACAGGCAAGGCCCTCAATTGCTCACTACATGACCCTTTCCCCAAAGCTACTGGAATGTCCCCACATCGTGGCTGACTCTCCCTGAATAAGTGACCTCAACATAACATGGAAGCCACAGTGCCCTTCATGATACCATCCAGAGTATCCACACAATCTTACAGGTTAGCCAGCTACCAAAACTTAAAACCTAAAAAGTACATATTGCTTCGAGGCAATGATACACATGTACACAGTATTTAAAAAAATATATGTTTAGAAACAACCAAAAAAAAGCAAACAAAACTCCCTGAGGATCAGAGAGGTGACAAACCAAAGCTCACTAGCAGTCTAATGTAAAATGGACCCAGAATCCAGTCCTCTGGATTTTTGTCTACTACATCGCATCATAATATTGATTAGATTAAAATAAAAATGACAGAGGCTGGAAAGGTGGATCTACCATTAAGAGTATGTACTGCTCTTTCAGAGGACCTGAGTTCAGTTTCCAGTACCCATATCAGGTGGCTCTCAACTGCCTGCAACTGCAGCTCCAGGAGATCTGATGCTTCTGGCCTCCATTGGCACCTCCACTCATGTGCACCTACCCACACACAGACACATAAGGAGATAAAAACAAACCCTTAAAAATTATAGTAGATTACATGTGTGTAAAATGTTATCACAAGTAAGGTTGGCATCTGCAGTGGTTGGTCACGCTGATGCTATGAACTGAATTTGGGATGAGACTCACTCAGTGTCCTGGTTACTACTGCTCTGATGAGACACCATGACCAAAGCAGCGTTGGGAGGAAAGGTTTTATTTGGCTTATGCTTCTACATCACTTCATCATGGAAGGTAGTCAGGACAGGGATCTGGAAATGGGCTGATACAGAAGCCTGGGAAAGTGCTGCTTACTGGCTTGCTCCTTATGATGTGCCCAGCCTGCTTTCTTACAGAATCTACGACCACCACCCAAAGGGCAACACCACTCCCAATAGGCCAGGACCTCTCTATCAATCACTAATTAAGAAAATGCCCTGTAGTCCTGCCTACAGCCTGATCTTATGGAGGCATTTTCCCAATTGAGGCTCCCTCCTCTGATGACTCTAGCTTGTGTCAAACTGACATAAAACTAGCTAGCACACTCAGTGTATTCTTCCTCCAAACAAAATCCCTGATGATAATAAAAACAACAACAACAAAACAAGCCAGACAAATAGCAGCAGGATACTCTATAAAACACATGACCAGTTCTCTTCAAAGCTGGCAAAGTCATCAAAATAAGCAACTGCTTGAGGAGACCTGCTGACTCAATGCAGACGAGGTCCTCAGATGGGAAATGAGCTTCAGGTGAAAACTACAGCAATCTGAATCAGCACAGACCCCCAGCTAATGAGTTCATCGACACCGGTTCACTACTTAGCTCAAGCCAATTGTTAGTAACAGGAAAGCAAGTGGGAGGTATTTGGCAACCGGCTATTCTGTCTTCACAAATAATCTATAAATTCTAAAAAAGATGCCTCATAAGAAAAAAAAAACTTTAAAAACACTTAGAAGGTGGTCATTGTGAACATAAGATAACTCATCAGCTTTAAGAGTAGCCATATACATTCCTGACATTAGGCAGATAAAATTATTCTCAGAGTGTAGAACTGGATGGCATCTTTACTAACCTTGTTCTTGGATAACACGTTTCTAAATATAGATAAGAGATTATGAAAGTCAGTACTGTGTGAGGCCAAAATGCCTTGACACACCGCCAAAAGTTGATAACATTCACATTCCCTGGCCACCTTTATGCAAACCTATAAAGTTGTAACAAAATTATCCAGAAACTATTCCCTACCATCCTAAGTGCATTTAGAAAGCTTTAAACAAATACTCAATCAGGTCAAGAATTAAGAGTTGAAAGTCGGGCCATAGAGGTGCACACCTTTAATCACGGCTCTCAGGAGGCAGAAGCAGATCTCTGTGAGTTTGAGGTCAGCTTAGTCTACAGAGCGAGTTCCAGGACAGATAGGGCTTTTATGCAGAGAAACCCTGCCTTGCAAAACCAGAGAGAGAGAGAGAGAGAGAGAGAGAGAGAGAGAGAGAGAGAGAGAATGAAATAGAGTTGACATTATGATTTAATTTAATTTATGAGCTTGACATATGTTAATACTCACTAAACCCCTAATTGTGATATGAAGTTTTTATCCCATTTGCAGACTTAGCTGTGGGGTCAGCACACGCTAAACCACCAGCCCAAATTCATATGGCTAGAAAATGGTGGAGCTGAGATTTCCAAATAGTCTTCTGGCTCCTAAGCTGGGTCTAACTCCCCTAACCACCTCCCAATATGAAGTATAAAAGACATGCATAAATATAAAGGAATGATATGTCAGGACCGTTGCTGTGCAGACAATGTGTTAGGGAAACTCATAGTCTCTTAGCCATGAAGGAAGTTGAATGGTAGCTTTAAAATCTTTCCCATAAGTTGAATATCTGAGCTAAGGACATAGCTCAGTGGTACAGCACTTGCTTATCACGTGAAAAGGCCCTGGGTTTAATCTCCAGCATCCTTCAGAATTCCACAATCAATGG